TATCCTATAGGCTCTCATACTCTCTTTTTTTTTTTCCAAAACACAATTTTTTTAACTTTCCAATCTCAAAACTATGGTTTGGTTTTTTTAAGAGTGTTTGGGTGATTTTTTCTCAAATCATTATCACCCCAACACCCCCCGAAGTGAAGAATGGGGAAAAAGTATCATAGCACAACACATTATATTTGTATATTATAATAGCATTAGTCATTTTTCTTATTTTATATAAATTTGAAGTAATGGCGAAGGCAGAGATGCGATTTAGGCTCTGCGGCCCCCTATTGCATCGATCCTATCTCTGCTTCCTTTCCAAAGAAAATATCTGTACAGGGATTGCAACTGGGATTTGTATAACTTTAAAAATGCACAGTTTAGAATTACTCATGTATTTTACTTTAAACATCTGATAATATATTAAATTTAGCTTATCCGCACTTAATTCAAATGATTCATCCTAGAAAGTTAAGGGAAAAGAAGGAGAAGAGAAGAGAAGAAAGCATGAGCAATTGGGCTAGTGATGCCAGTAGAAAGCTGATAATTGAATGCATCTGCTTTAATTACTTCTTCCTTTGCTTTTTTTTGGTGGGGATGAAGTGTGAGGGACTCCACATCATTGTCCTTCCTAGGTTGTCCTCTCTTGTCCTCTTTGTAATAATGGAAAGCGAAATAGAAAGATCAAAACCAGCATTTTAATTTAATTTTTACAATTTTAAACTAGTACTTCAACTAGACTCTTTCCTTAAAATATCTTTTTTTTTTAACCAGCCTTTCCTTAAAATATCTACAGATTGAAGAGAGCACAGATCAAATATAAGTTTTTTTCAAAATTCAGGTTTCGTTTTAATTTTGCTATAGTTTAGCTGTAGTGGGAACACGAAAAGTAGAAAAGTAACAGTCGACAAGTTTTTCCAGATGAGGTGGGAGCATGATGAGATTAAGGAAGGAAAATGAGTGTCAGTTCAGCTGTTACATCCAACCCAATGATCGCTTGATGAGGCCACTCTTCATTGTTTCCAACCCAAGACGGGATAAACCCCATCACATTGCTTCCCCTCCTGCCTACTTTTTCCCTGCATTCATCATCATCCCTTTTCCCTTCTCTCCTCTTTCTTTAGAAACTGATTTTTTAGGAAGTCATAAATTTGAGCAATTACCATTTACTCTATCATTATTGAAACTTTTACATAATTATATTTCTTACTTAGAATTTCATAATAATTCTCTTTAAAAAATAGTGACTTCATACTCCATACTCACTTTCCATGCTGTTTACATCCTTTCTCTCTTTAGTATTACCAAAAGAGGACAAAATTATTTATATTTAAAATCTCGAGGTCTTAAAAATTCTAATGTAAACTCTCCTTAAGAAGGAGTCTTAGTTATTTCAAACACCAAATTGTCGTTAGTTCTCGAGTAGGGACGACATATTGGCGAAGAATACTCCTAGCTTCACCAAAGAATCTTTAGCTTAACTTTCTAGGTCTTTGGACGTAATTTTTCTCCGAACCACGGGGCACTCATTTCAGACAAACTGTCTTACCCGCTCAAACAGTTTTTTTTCTTTTTGTTTTTTGGCCAAACACCTTATCAGGTTTAAATATCTCAGTATCTCACCCGCCACCATCCCCTGAACTGATAATAACAGCTCCAATCTCTTACCCCACTAACCTGAGACCTGCAAATCAGGAAAAACAAAGTGTGCAGATACGAAAATATGTCACTTTCGCCCATCCCTAAGTGCAACTTGGATTTGATCTTATCTAAAAAGCGCATAACTGACACTACGAGATATTTTTACAGACCGAGAAAAAAAAATCACGACCAGATATTTAAAACACTCTGCACCAGACCAGATATTTAAGACACCCTGTACAGTGCTTGCACTTTGTATAATAAATTATCTGAGCATGTCACAGCATTAAAACCCTGAAAAGGCACCGTGAGCGTGACTAGAGATTCCATTTTGAACGGAATGTGTGTTCCGGAAAAATAACCATGAGTCGCAAGGAGCATGAGAAAACCTCGGATTTTTGTGTAAGAGAGATGGCGCTTATAAGATTCCAAACAATGACATTCATCAGAATCTCATAAGCACAGGACAATTTATTCTCTATAGTTCATCTTCATCGTCCTACCTCCCCCAAACACGGAAGCCATTTTCAAGGTCAACTTTGCAGCCATTTCCCTTCTCTGGAAATCAGGCATCAATCTTAAGCCAGCACGCATATTGCCTATCTCTGACATTAGCTGTTCCAAATCCTCCAAGTCAAGACCTTTGCCTGATACCCCATCTTCTTCAGAATCCCCAACTTCCTTGTCACCCTCATCCTGCAATACAGTGCTTGAAGTTGATGGTTGTAAATTTTTATCAGACTTGGTTCCATCTTTGAGTTCAGAATCTGAGATGGGGTTGTTTTGTGAAACTGATTTTCCAGCATCTAAGGGAGTAGCAGAAACCCATCTTTGTTTGTGTCATCCCGAGGATCAGCTGAACCATCAGATAGGACTTCATACTCCAATTCATAATCAGATTCTTCTGAAGAAGACTCTGAAAGAAAAAGCCATAAATAGTAAAGCACATATAATATATAGCAGGCAGTGGCACGTAGCCTCCTCCGAGAAACGGGAAGAATTAACAGAGGAAAAACCTTTCTGAGGTATTGATGGTTCACTTATTTTATCACCAGACTTTAAGATCATCCCAGGCACATATGAGCAGAAAGAGCACCAAATAACCGTTCAACTCCTTGTGAATCACCATCAACAGACAAGGCTGCCAACAATTGTTTATTTTATTTCAGTGACACAATTCATGTATTGATGTAGTACGAGTTGGAAATAATCTTCCATCGTTCATGATGGTGTTCTAAAATGATATTATGTGTCATCCTTCAATAACAAATTGCAGTATGAAACTGACCATCTTCATGCATAATTACTAAAACGACAGTATAGGTGCTGCTATAATCCTCTGCCAAAAGATAGTTATCAGTCAAGAGAAATGTGACTTCAAAACAAAGATTAGCTCACAATGGCCAGCATAGTAGCCATAGTTGAGGCCCGAAATTCTCTTTAAAGCACGCTCCTTTAAGAGTAACTGACAGGAGGAATATATTTATAGGTATGTATATAGCTAGTAGTATTTTCATACTCTATAAGTGCATTAGTTACCGCTGTCCAAGTACCAGAAGATAAAGAAAAACGTCCAGTACGGAGCAGTACAGAAGGATGAGCACCGCCATGATGAAAGGGAATGCTATGATGCCATAAATTAACGAAATTAGTTGTTCTTCAACAAATTTCATATTTTGCATCAAAGGAAGAATGTTAATTTATACTGACTGTCCAGCCACACACCTCAGATAAATAGAAGACTTTTCCAAAAAGAGCCTGAACAGCAAGTTTTCTCTTGAAACTCTTCTCTGTATAGCCTGATGCATCCATGACTACAGGGCCTAAAAACATTAAAATACAATGTAATAGAAGTCAGAGAGAATGAAATAACAATAAATCGTGAATCCAAAATCTTAAGACATTTTCATTTAATTACAATGGGTAAAAATATTGGATTCATTCACAATAAGCAGTAGTTGGGTATGATGGAAGACAGGTAATGAAAGAAGGATCAATTCTATCTCATCATCGCTCTATGGCTTTCAAGTTGCTACTTCTCAAAATTATGATTTAAGGTCAGCTACAACACACCTTTAATTGTAATGACATCTTCTAGAGATCACTATCCAAACACAAACTTCCAAACCATTCATATAAGGTCTACTCCCTTAAAATTGATTTATATTTTCAAATTGCCGAGTCTCCCAACATTAGCAAAACATTATTCACATACAAACTACTAATCAATCTTCATCCTTCTCCCCTCAATCTGAGCTTCGATCTTTGATCTCCAGTTCGTCTTCTCCATTTCCTGTGTCTGAGAGCATTTCGATCTTTGATTTCCATTGCAATAACAAAAACCTAGTGGTTAAAATAAGATTGCGTCCAAAATGGCAAACCCTTTTGGTAAATGAAGCAGACAAGACCTTTGATTCAAATGAATTAAAACCCATACCTTGTACTTCAAATGAATTAAAAAAATTGAAGCCTACGAGCCTTCCAGGTCTGACGCCATTGACGATTCTGCATTGGGTGCTTAGATTTCAATTTTACGGTTTATGTTTCTGATTTTAATTTCTGCTTTGCCTTTTCCCCCCCATATTTTCCTGATTCATTCTATTGATGGGTACTCAGCCACCCAGCGGGGATGGATTTTTGGAAGGTCAAGGAACGGAAGAAGACCAGGGCAGTTATGTCTTTTTCCTAATTTTCATTTGAGTTGGGTCTTACCTATTTTTTCTTAATCCCATCCCATACCAAACATAATTTTAAAACTCAATACCAACTCCAATCCCATGCCCATTCCCATTCCCAACTCCATTCCCAATCCCTTAAACTTTAATACCTCATACCAAACATGACCTAAGATTACTCTAATGAACCACCACTGTTTTAGTGCAAATTTCCTGGATGGAAACCAACATTCATTTAGAATGACATTCTTATATGAGTAGCACTCCCTGCAGCCAAAACTCATTAGACATAATAAAATCCATGTACAAATTTTGTTCCCTACATCATAATATTTATAGCAGGACCTGAGGTTAACCCAAAACTACTCCACTGACCTATGCTATATGAGGAGTAACTTACCTTTGTCTCGCACAATTCGTCGTGAGATTTCATTCAGAATCTCCGCAACTTGGGAGTCATTTAACATAGAAGCTCTCCTCAGCTGAATTAAATCAGCTACCACATCAGGGTTAAATGGTTTCTCATTCAGAGCATAGCGAATATACTTGCGCAGAATTTCTTCCACATTAAAGCCTACTTGTATATTAATTTGAAAATGTCACATAAAATTGGTTCATCTATGTCCACGTGCACACAATTTTGGAGAGTCTAACCTTGTAGTACAAATGACACAACACTTTCCTTGAGGCTTTATACATTGTGAAGTCTGACCTCCGTAAAGAATATAATAGGTACATGATAGAAGAAAAGTGCTTAGAGAGAGAGACGTGAATAAGAAACCTAGATATGATTGTTCATCTATTATGTTTTGTAAAGAAACGAGAATAAAGAAAATGAAATGTCATTAATGATCAATGAGATACAATAACCCTCTTAGGGGTAACTAAATCCCTCATTTGGGAGATTAACTAATAACCCAAAATTATCGGGATTAAGAAGGGAGATCCAAGTTATCCTCCGTCTTATTGGTGAAAATAACACATTCTACACACTGGTTAACGTTGCTCTGAGGCCGACCTTACTGGTTATTGTTACCGTTGATACTGCCGGTGCTATTGCCTGCAAAACTTCCCCCATTATAAATAAAATTCCCAAAATTTAAAATGTTTTGCGAAGGGCGATCATCTTCATCGCGACCAGGAGCTCCAACACTGTTCCAATCTTTTATCTCCAAGTCTCTCGAAACATTATATGCGATTTCAACAACATCATCCGGAGGCATCCCTGATATATTGTCATGTGCTTGAATGGTGGAGGAGACAGGGACTGTGAACACCGGCGGTGGCCAACACATACGAAAGTCAACGACGCGAACCGGATGACGGTTGGGGCTCTCCATTTCAGAGTCTCGAGGCTTCCCCCGCTCTGCTCTCTCCGCTTGAATGGTGGAGGAGCCATGGACTCTGAACACCGGCGATGGCAAACACATATGAAGGTCAACGACGCAAACCGGATGACGGTTGGGGCTCTCCATTTCAGAGTCTCGAGGCTTCCCCCCCTCTGCTCTCTCCGCTTGAACGGTGGAGGAGACAGTGACAGTGACTATGAACTCCGACGGTGACGAAGGCAAATAAAGGCGAAGGTCGTCAACCGGACGACGGCTGGGGTTCTCCATTTGAGAGTCTCGAAGCTTCTCCCTCTCTGCTCTTTCCGCTGAACACGATGGCTTTACAATTTTAAACTAGTACTTCACCTACATTCTTTCCTTAAAATATCTATAGATTGAAGAGAGCACAGATCAAACATAATTTTTTTTTTAAAAAAAAATTCAGGTTTTGTTTTTATTGTGCTGTAGTTTAGCTGTAGTGGGAACACAAAGGTAGAAAAGTAACAGCCGATAAATTTTGCCAGATGAGGTGGGAACATGATGAGATTAAAACAGGACGGTGAGTGTCAATTCAGCTGTTACATCCAAACCCAATGATGGCTTGATGAGGTCACTCTTTATTGTTTTCAACTCAAATCGGGATAAACTCCATCGCATTGCTTTTCCTTCTCTTTCTGCATACCTTTTCCCTGCATTTATTATTCTCTCCTCTTCTCTTCTCGTTCCTTTCTCTTAGAAACTGATTCTTTAGAAAGTACTGCTTTCGGTTTTTAATATATAAGATTTTATTTGATTTTTATTTTGATTCTAAATATAAGACTTTAATCCATTTTGTTTATTATATTTATACATTTTTTTCAAAGTAATTCTAATGATAATTTTAGCCAATACACTTGATTAATAAGGATATTTTAAGAAAATAATATATATTTATTACAAATAACTAACTTAACTTCTTTTCTTAATCTCTTCAAATTAATCAACTAACTCTCATAATTAGAACCAGAGGTAGTAATAAGTTTGAGCAGTTTTTATTTATTGTTTTAAAACTTATCATTATAGATTATTTTATTATTATTGAAACTTTTAAATAATTATACTTCTCATCCAGAATTTCATAATAATTCTCTTTAAAAAATAGCGACTTTATAGTCCATACCCACTTTCCATGCTGCTTACGTCATTCTCTCTTTAGTATTACCAAAAGAGGACTATATTTAAAATCTCGCGATCTTAAAAATTCTAATGTGAACACTCTTTAAGAAGGATACTCGTTATTTCAACACCAAATTGTTGTTATTTCTTGAGTAGGCCCGACACATTGGCGAAGAATACTCCTAGTTTCACCAAGGAAATATTTAGCTTAACTTTCTAGGTCCTTGGACGTAATTTTCTCCGCGAACCACGGGGCACTCATTTCGGACAAACTACCTTACCCGCTCTATCAGTTTCTTTCTTTGTTTTTTTTTTCCCGTTGTTGTTTTGCCAAACACCTTATCAGGTTTAAATATCTCAGTATCTCACACGCCACTATCCCCTGAACTGATAATAACAGCTCCAATCTCTTACCCCACTAAACCTAAGACCAGCAGGAAAAACAAAGTGTGCAGGTACGAAAATATGTCACTTTCGTCCATCCCTAAGTGCAACTTGGATTTGATCTATATTTTTACAGACCGAGAAGAAAAAATCAAGACCAGATCTTTAAAACACTCTGTAAATGCTCGCACTTTGTATAATAAATTATCTGAGCATGTCACAGCATTAAAACCCTGAAAGGCACCATGAACATGACTAGAGATTCAATTTTGAACGGAATGTTCTGTTCCGGAAATATAACCATGAGTCGCAAAGAGCATGAGAAAACCTCGGATTTTTGTGTAAGAGAGATGGCGCTTATAAGATTCCAAACAATGACATTCATCAGACACATCTATCAGAATCTCATAAGCAGAAGACAATTTATTCTCTACAGTTCATCTTCATCGTCGCTACCTCCCCCAAACACGGAAGCCATTTTCAAGGCCAACTTTGCAGCCATTTCCCTTCTCTGGAAATCAGGCATCAGTCTTAAGCCAGCACGCATATTGCCTATCTCTGACATTAGCTGTTCCAAATCCTCTAAGTCAAGACCTTTGCCTGATACCCCATCTTCTTCAGAATCCCCAACTTCCTTGTCACCCTCATCCTGCAATACAGTGCTTGAAGTTGATGGTTGTAAATGTTTATCAGACCTGGTTCCATCTTTGAGTTCAGAATCTGAGATGGGGTTGTTTTGTGAAACTGATTTTCCAGCATCTACGGGAGTAGCAGAAACCCATCTTTGTTCTGTGTCATCCCAAGGATCAGCTGAACCATCAGATAGGACTTCATACTCCAATTCATAATCAGATTCTTCTGAAGAAGACTCTGAAAGAAAAAACCATAAATAGTAAAGCACATATAATATATAGAAGGCAGTGGCACGTAGCCTCCTCCGAGAAACGGGAAGAATTAACAGAGGAAAAACCTTTCTGAGGTATTGATGGTTCACTTATTTTATCACCAGACTTGAAGATCATCCCAGGCCACATATGAGCAGAAAGAGCACCAAATAACCGTTCAACTCCTTGTGAATCACCATCAACAGACAAGCCTGCCAACAATTGTTTATTTTATTTCAGTGACACAATTCATGTATTGATGTAGTACGATTTGGAAATAATCTTCCATCGTTCATGATGGTGTTCTAAAATGATATTATGTGTCATCCTTCAATAACTAATTGCAGTATGAAACTGACAATCTTCATGCATTATGATTCTAACTCATCTATATGACTACATGAGAAACTGAGCATATCTCTGAAATTGAGGGGAATCCACGTCATATTAGATAGCGGACTAGATCATTACAACAGAAAGGCAAACAAGTTTTACATTTGTCAAAATGGCATTGGAAGCGCACGCCTCAATGAATTCAATGCCATGCTCAGTGAACCATTCTGAACAAGATCTTCTGGAATCCCATGTTGGATCTTCATTCCCCAATAAACTAGTTCCTTCAGAGTCAGATATTCCATACTCCGTGGACTCAGAGCAAGGATCAACAACAGAGTCTTTCAGTTTCTGTAGTCGTCTTCTGTATTCAGCATGAACTGGATGACCTGGAACCAGGTCCACTTTGTTTCCAATACATAATAATATCTCGAAGTTTTGAATATCAGTGCGTGATACCCAATCCTGGAGTGCAGCTAGAGAAGATAACTGCACATTGTTTAGGAAGATCAAAGACGTGTTACATCAACTTTTTCATTGCTAACGCCCATATATCTTCATGGAAAACAAGAATATAGTTCAAGAACAAATTGACACATGATTAAGGATCACATAACTCTTTACCCAAGAACTACACAGGAACACAAATTAAACCCAACAAAAAAAAAAGTGTGTCAAGAGAAGGATGCTAACATCGTTCATGTCAAAAACCATAACCAAAGCAGTCAATTGGTGCGATATGGGCAGGTTCCGAACAGAAAAGTCATCACTAAGATGAGTCATCCATACAGAAACATCAGCAGTATAGTACTTGGTATTGATAGTCCACCTGTTAATTGCATAAAACATACACTCAGGGAGTTCTGAAGAGATATTGTTAAGCAATGAGATACAGAAAATATTCACGAGCAACATACCCATGGACAGACACATCAGAGGCAGAATCGGAAGCATCTTCAAAATCAGTAGAGAGCAATCCTAAAGTCAACAGAGTACATCAAATCAATTTGCGCCACAAAAAATCAAATACAGTTGTAATCCAAGAATGGTGGAGTCAATAACATAGGATTAACATAAACATCACAGCCTTGGTACAAAATCTTGTTTAAAATCCAGAAGATAAAAAAACACACTTCTGTAGGGTCATTCAAGTAAAAGCCATATCCAATCATTGAACATTGACAATGAGTTAATCTCATGAATTAGATGACAGGCACGGCTCTAAATTAAATCTTCTAAGAAGGCAACAGTAAAAATTTAATGCAAACCAAAGTGTGGCAAAATCTTTCACGCAAAATATAGAAGCAACTGAGCTTAATTATTGGTTTGTCATGAAAAAAACTAAACTTGGTTATCGATATCTGAGAAGGCTATTAGAATGGCGGTGGCAGAATAATAGACAGAAGAGAGAAACTAACGGGATAAGAGTGTGCGTTTGCCAACATTGGAAGATCCAATCACAAGGATCCCGGGTCGATTCTCCAGAGCATTCGGGTCCTTCTGAGAATCGCTAGTATTCATTTTCACTGCCAAATTTGAATTTCACCCTATGAGAGAAACAATATTGAATCTCTCAAGTCTAAAACCCTAGCGAGTCAGCTTGAGCTCGGAATTGCCTTCCCCGTTTCTAACACTGTTCCAGGCCAAATGGTTTCTCTCCTCTGCAAACCTCTCCTCTTCATTCAAATCTAGCCATTGATCTAATCGTGTAGCAGATGGAGCGACACGTAGAAGGCCGGTCTGACGTTGAAAATCAAATGAAAAGAAGCCTCTTTAAGCTATCTCAAATTCTCAATCAGACCGTAAAGACGGCGAGAATATTCCGGTGCCGTTCGTTGCAAGTGACATCCATAGTTATCGCGCAAGACTGGGCTACTCGCGGGAGGGCGGTCATGAGTATTTTCACTTTAAGAGTGCTTTGGAAATTAAACATCAAAGCATAATACATGTATGCACACGAAATTATACTCAAAGCATATACAGGCACATTCCTTGATTCAAAATGTAAACTAAACTTTCTTTAAAAAGTTAATTTTTTTATAAGATAACATTTATTTTATCTAAGTATTAATAAATTTTTTTCAATTTTATCCTCGTATATTGTTTTTCTTCTTTAATTTATTTATTATATCTTTTACTTATTCTCTTTATTAATAAGGGTATATTAGGAAAAACAAATATATGTCTTCCACATTTATTGTTTTAAATTGATTTTAATTAATTTCTTGATAAATATAATAAATAAAGTTTAGCTTATATTTTAAACCGAATATATACACGCACAAAATGACAAATGACACCATACATTAATTATGGGAACTATTGTATTATTAATTAATGGATAAAATTTATTTATGAAGTCTGCACTCGACAATAATACACACATGCATTATGCATGTATAGACAACTTCAAGGGACTTAAATTCGCTTGGGATCTTGGTTTCAAGAAGGTGATTTTGGAATCCGATTAAAAATCTCAATTGATTTGTTGAAGAAAAAAGACAACAACCAGAGAGCTTACTTTGTCCCCCAAATAAAAAAGTTAATGATGAATGACTGGGACCTTGAAGTACAGCACATATCAAGGGAGCAGAATCAACTTGCAGATTCGTTGCCCAAAGGAGTTTTATGAAACTCTTCTCTTTTCGATTCTTGTCCTCCACATTTGAGGACATTGCTTTTTTTGTTGACAATCCTATTCTAGACACTGTCAGATACTAAATGTGGGCACTTCTCTCAATAAGAATTTAAACCTTGGTTATTTGAGGACCTTATTTGATACTGAATGTTTGGGATCTAGTCTCATCAGTTTGTTTTTAGTCTTTTGGCTTTTGCCCTCTTGTTTACCCGGAAAAAAAAAAAACAAAAACCAAGAAGCCTAAGTGAGGGTTGGAATTACGTTTTAAATATATTTTCTTGATGCTTGCAACTTGTTCTTCAGTCTTCATATTCAACTTACTTCGGTGATTTTTTGGCCAAAACTGAGTGGGGTGATTTGGCACATATTTTTTCCCCTTAGTGTAGGAGTTCCTTCTCTAATTCTTATTGTAAAAATTCTTAACATATTTCATAATATAACATATTTTATTTAAAATATTAATTTTTTTTTACTTAGTATGCCTAAAATTATAAAACTTCTTAACTTACTAAATAAACTGATGTTCTAACTAATAATTTTTATTACGAATAATTTTAACAAGCTTTATTAATTTATAAAAATCATGCCCTATTGTTAGATCCTTATGACACAGCAGTATCATATAAAAAGCAACTCATAGTCTGACACGATAGAATCAAAACAAATTAAAGCCATACCAATGTTCCAAAAAACTTCATCATCAGATGTCGAGTCATATATGTATACATAGATCAATTGTGCCTTGTACAGTTACGGAAAGAAAAGAAGATTACGTACATCACTCTTCTCAATCAAACGACACACTCACACGATGAACTGGACGAGTTCAGTTTCCGGTTCCAGCAAAAGTAGAAATATCAGAACTAGGGCTAGCACCAATGGCGAAGAACTCAGTGATGACTTCCAGAGGCATGCCTTTAGTTTCAGGGACTTTGAAGTAAACAAAGAGCCAAGACACGATGCACCCAACAACAAACATTCCAAACACACCAGAAAGACCAACCAATTGAAGCAACGAAGGGAAAACAGAAGTGAGGATCAAGGTTGAGATCCAGAACGAAACACAACATATAGAAATGCAGATTCCTCGAACACTGGTAGGGAAGATTTCTGCACACATGATGTTGGGAATCACTCCAAATCCCATGCAGAATACGCTCTCGTACACTATTACACTCAGAGCAGTTATCGCTGCGTTCACCACAGAACTTAGGTGCATGTAGTCACGTACCACGAGCACCACCAGACACACTATCAGAATGGGCACTGTGTACAGCATTATTGACCTGCAATTCGTGTAATTCATGAGACACTATATTTATACACATAGACACACACACAAGTGGCTGTCAATTGAAAAAGAATAAACTTTTGAATTGAAACCTACAATAAAGTTGGTCCATATATATAAACCTACCCCAAGGATTCGAGTCTTCTAGCTAGACTTCGACATTCATCTATGATATGCATTCAAAGAAAGATAGAAAGTTACATGACTTTTAATGTTAATCTCGTTTAAACAGAACCACACTTATATGGTTTCCGGCCGAAGATGAAAGTTTAACCATCACTTCAATCCCCAAATATTAAAACAAAACTTTTCATCCTCTAAATTGCATAAAGTGAACGTCACCTACAAGTGCAAGCTGTGTGAGGAAAAATCAAGATGACAAACAAAGGATTCGTATCAAGCGACAAATATTGTCTTCAGATTTTAATTTTAACTAATATATTTTACCTATTTGTAATGGTTTGTGGATGAAGCGTTATAGTTAAATCTTGAGAAGCCAAAAGGTTACCAGGCTATCTATAGTCATGTTTCTTCCTTTCGTTCAGTAGTCAAAAGTTTAAGAGTACTTTGTTCTTATTTTATGACGAAATGTTAGTTCAGTAGATAAACAACGAGTTTTATATATTAAAAAGATATATATTAAAGAGAATATTTAGACATATGTACCTTCTGCCCGCAATGTCCATGAGCTTCATGGAAATACCTATACAAGGAAGCATGCAGAATGTGATGACGACATTAACAAGTAACGAGGCAGATGTTGCAGAAAAGCCCAAATTGGCGAGAAGAGCGCCTATTCCTGCCTTCTCAAGAACTTGAGGTCCATAGTACAGAAACCCATTTATGCCAGCGGCCTGCAAAATATGTGTGCGCGCGCGCGCGCATTAATTCAATCATCCTTATAACAACCACAATCACGAAAAAATCCCTAGCTTATTTACCCCTGCTTAGTTTATCAAGATGGACATTTAGATCTAAGGGATTAAAATTTGTTGAAGTATTGATTTTTGGTTGTTTGACTGCTTGGACAGTGACTATCATGAACATATTCTTGTCATAGTCCTGAGACATAAAAGTAACATTCCTCTAGAGTATTTGCCCGTAGAATTCTCATGAAGTTCGAAAAGAAACTGACGTAAAAAGTAAAGATATGTATAGATCAGAAGATCTGTAAGTTTGACGTTAAAGTAATCACCTGCTGAAGAACTTGAAGTCCAATTCCAACAACCAAGGCACGCCTGACGCCGGGTGTCCAAGCATTGGGTTTAACAGTATTTATATCATTCATGGCTTTGGCTACGTCCTTGCTAGTCCCAAGAGCCGACATGCTCACCAGTGCCGACGCCGGGAACGCCGCCGCTTCCCCCTCCATAGTCAAATCCAACCCTGAACCCGAAATAAACGAAGCTCTTTGTGACTGTGAAATCCCAACCCCTCCTCCTCCTCCTGCCTCTGCATGCAAATACACTCTCTGATACTGGTGATGACCTGCTTCTTTATACATCAATTGCCATCCTCCACCTATGTCTGTGTTCTTGTTTACGACTGCCTGAGACCTGTCTGTGGCACTAGCTTGGCGTGAGAGTAACAATGGAGTGTGAAGCTGAAGGTAGTCGCTGGTTCCGGTGGGTTCAGTGAGGTTGAGGCCGCTTCCCTGCACGGGGGTCTCGGAGGCGTTGTCGCCGTGCATGCTTCCGAAGAGATTGACGATTGGGTCCTTGATAATATTAGGGCTTTGGCTGATGCTTGCTTGGCGAGATACGGACCGTGACAACACCATGCCGCTTCCCTGTGCATTTACTGGAGCCGCCACCATTGATAAGGCTCCTTCGTTGGGCTCGTATAGTTTGATACAATCTCTGGTGGCTTCCATGGGAACAGTCACTTCGCTGGCTGGTGCTACTATGTATTCTTCTAAGCTTGTGGATTCACCCCCCGGGCTTAGACCCTCCACTAACAAAGCTAACTCGCCTGTAACATCACTCTCAATTCTTTGTTATTTGGAAATTTGTGCGTATTATTTACAGACTCTGATTCAAGCAAGATGTTTAACATTTGACCGAGCACTACGTAATCATAGAAGAAAGAAATAATGTGTAAGGCTATGACCTGAAACATCCTGAGTGCCACGGATACGTTGCAAGACCGTCCTGGCATCACCAAGTCGACCTTTGGTGACAAGCCAGCGAGGAGATTCAGGAAGATAGAACACAGTAACCAGGAAATAAGCCAAAGCAGGTAGACCAATAATCCCAAGCATGATTCTCCAACTAGGCGACTCCATTAACGACATGGAAAATACCAAACAGTAAGCCAAGAACATTCCGGATGAACAAGAAAACTGCGTCGCCGTCGTGAGTAGGCCCCTGATGTCCGGCGGTGAGATCTCCGATATGTAGAGAGGAGTGAGAGTGACGGCGAGGGCATTGGCCAAGCCGCTCAGTAACCTCGCGATTAGAATTACGTAAACGTTAGGAGCCCATAGGATTACCAGAGCGCTCAAGATAAATGTTGCTGACGAGATTATTAGCATCGTACGTCGTCCGAACATGTCGCTGGCCGTTCCTGCGAGTGTCGTCATCACTGTTCCGGCAAGGAACGTCATGGAGACAATCATTCCTTCCATTTTGGGATCTAACGTGAATTCTTTCTTGATGTAAGACATGCCCCCTGCAATGTCATTATCTCCATTAATTAATGAACCATTATATATACATATATATAAATATATGTATGTCCTATGTCGTATCCATTAATTAAGGAGCCAAAAATCCAGTTAGTTTTGATGTGCATTTCAAAAGAAGAACGAGAAGATCATGAAAGATATGAAACCTGCAAGGGAAGAACTATCCCACCCGATCAACATATTCCCAAGTGTAGAAGAAATTGCGACTATCACAACTTCCCTCATTTTCCCTCTCTCAGAAGACTAGAGTATCAAAAAGAAAAAGAAAAAAAAACAAAGACCAAAATTATTATCACTGCTTCTTAAAGAAGATCGAAACTGAGATCCGCAGTTAATGAGCAAATCCAGAACTGCATCAAAAGGACGAGGAGTAGTCCAGCATATTTGAACGACACGCCAATTTCCAGATCTAACATGTAAACCCACATATCAAGTATTTCTCCCAGATATCAAATTAGGCTCAAGCTCTCATTCTCTCACTTTTCAACTGTAACAGAACTTCCTTTCCTTTCAAGATATTAAATTTAGAAATGAAAGAAAGAAACCCAAATTTCTCGCGAGCCTCTTGCATGCTTGTGGTGACTCTAGAACTGAATCAGTTAAACGTCAAATTCGTTTCTCTCTTTTCCTTTCTTTTTGTTTCACCCTTCAAATTAATTATGACTATTTAAATGCATTAATAATTCTATTAAATTTAACCATTAAATTTTAAATATTAAATTCCGATTTGAACAACTTAGGCAGACAAGGAACGCGGGAAAAAAGTGAAATAGAAATTTTGAACTCTTGCAAGCTAAGAAAGAATTCCCACATCAATAAAAGTTCAAGACAGTGCAATTCCATATCAACATGCAATACAACATAATTAATCATTCTATCTCTAAATGTATCTTTACACTGATTTCTAATCAACTGCCTTCAATTTCCAATTACTAAAAGTAAATGCCGCCAAAATTTGATGTTATGACAGAAACATCAACCATAAAATTTATTCCTAGGGATCATAAAACTGAAACAGCAGTCAAAGAGGAAAAAGACAACACTTTTCTTTGGTATTAAGACTATTGAACCATTTGCTTCCAGTGAGTCATCATTCAACCCTTTGGGCAAACTGAACGCATGTAACATATAAATCAAAGATCATCAGATGCGGCCTCTTCAGAATCTTCCTCTGCTTCTAAATTGTCAACCATCTTCTCAAGGGATTCCATATCACCAGCTTCAGAGACGGTGTGTATTCTGAGTTTGTCAGCATCTTCACTGTGAAAAAGAAGATTGTTCTTGAGCAAAGGAATGTTGTTGTTGTTATGCTTAATTACACATATTCACATAACACACTTGAACTATGAGTCATGTGCAAATAGTTACTTTAAACTGCAAAACTTGCCAATGAATCCCCTAAACTTCTAAATTTGTGCAAATAACCTCCTACAATTCATCAGTCCATCGTTTTACTGATAGAACATGACATGTTAGGACTTCATCTATAATTAACTAAAACTTAGTGAATTTATCTACATATTACCTGAAGTTTAAAGGAATTATCGTTAAAAATTCAAGAAAATATTGTATAAATTCAGCCTTATTACTATTACAACAACTACTATTGGTAATACTAATATGTTGTTGTCGTTGTTAATCCATTTGGCTGCAGAATAGCTCAAAGTAATATGCTGATGCTAGACAGTCACAAGGTCTGCTCACTGCTTAATTCATCAAGACTACTTGGCAAAGAATAAAAGCAACTAAAGAAACCAAGCATGAAGCATACTCTGTAACCCCAAAGATTTCCTTGACAATTAAAGAGCTATCCCTCGAACAAAACTCCGGCAGCTGAGACCAGAATGACAAACCAAAAAGGAAATTAGTTCAAATTTCAAAGCATAGAATAGGCACCATCAGACGCACTTAAGGGAGAAAATTATAGTACAGAACAATAACTAGCATAATTACTAAAACGACATTATAGGTGCTGCTATAATCCTCTGCCAAAAGATAGTATCAGTCAAGAGAAATGTGACTTCGAAACAAAGATTAGCTTACAATAGCCAGCATAGTAGCCATAGTAGATGCCCAAAATTCTCTTTAAAGCACGCTCCTTTAAGAGTAACTGACAGGAGGAATATATTTATAGGTATCTGTATATAGCTAGTAGTATTTTATACTCTATAAGTGCATTAGTTACTGCTGTCCAAGTACCAGAAGATAAAGAAAAATGTCCAGTACGGAGCAATACAGTAGGATGAGCACCGCCATGATGAAAGGGAATGCTATGATGCCATAAATTAACGAAATTAGTTGTTCCTCAACAAATTTCATATTTTGCATCAAAGGAAGAATGTTAATTTATACTAACTGTCCAGCCACACACCTCAGATAAATAGAAGACTTTTCCAAAAAGAGCCTGAACAGCAAGTTTTCTCTTGAAACCCTTTTCAGTATAGCCTGATGCATCCATGACTACAGGGCCTAAAAACATTAAAATACAATGTAATAGAAGTCAGAGAGAATGACATAACAATAAATCGCGAATCCAAAATCTTAAGACATTTTCATTTAATTACAATGGGTAAAAATATTGAATTCATTCACAATAAGCAGTAGTTGGGTATGATAGGAAGACAGGTAAGGAAAGAAGGATCAATTCTATCTCATCATCGCTCTATGGCTTTCAAGTTGCTACTTCTCAAAATTATGATTTAAGGTCAGCTACAACACACGTTTAATTGTAATGGATCACTGTGCAAACACAAACTTCTAAACCATTCATATAACGTCTACTCCCTTAAAATTGATTTATATTTTCAAATTGCCGAGTCTCCCAACAATTGTAAAACATTATTCACATATAAACTACTAATCCATTTCATCTAGCATAGCATAGCCTGAGCTGCAGAAAGAATATGAAAAATCACCACTCAGTTAGGCCCATACAAGGCAGACAAGTGCATAGAGCAGATTTAAGCTTGAAAGTTAAAATGGTTTTAATTTTGTCACATATCTGATATATTTACAATAGACAAACACCCCAATAAAAAACGTACTTTAGCAATAAACTTAAATGTAAAAGCGAGGCAACACCACAGTAGGTGATCCTTAAGATTACTCTAATGAACCACCACTGTTTTAGTGCAAATTTTAGAATTCAACAAGAGGCAAATTTTCTGGATGGAAACCAACATTCATTTAGAATGACATTCTTATATGAGTAGCACTCCCTGCAGACAAAACTCATTAGACATAATAAAATCCATGTAAAAATTTTGTTCCCTACATCATAATATTTATAGCAGGACCTGAGGCTAACCCAAAACTACTCCACTGACCTATGCTATATAAAGAGTAACTTACCTTTGTCTCGCACAATTCGTCGTGAGATTTCATTCAGAATCTCCGCAACTTGGGAGTCATTTAACATAGAAGCTCTCCTCAGCTGAATTAAATCAGCTACCACGTCAGGGTTAAATGGTTTCTCATTCAGAGCATAGCGAATATACTTGCGCAGAATTTCTTCCACATTAAAGCCTACCTGTATATTAATTTGAAAATGTCACATAAAATTGGTTCATCTATGTGCACATGCACACAATTTTGGGGAGCCACCAGAAAACAATCAACAGAAAAAAAATTTCCAATCATAGTAAAAGAAAAATCCAACAGATATTCCAGGGAAAAAAAATAGAAAAAGAAAACCTTGATCTAGACATAGAGGTACTATTGGTTTGTTTGGATAGCTTTATACTTGAAAGAGATAACATAGAAGAAATATAATTGTTAAAAGGGAAACTAATAAAGCAATTTGAGATCAAGGAGCTCAACAAACTAAAATAGTTTCTTGGCATTTAAGCTACCCAATTTCAAGGGACTTTCATATCATAACTGTGTCGAACTTTTTGACAAATACAAGCAAATCGGGATGCAAGTTGAGTAGCAAGGTTGATCTTCAAAAAATGTGACATTCATGGAGACAAAAAATTCCGTGCAAGATCATATTAAATGCTGATCAGGGGCATATCCAGCTTGTGAGTTTCATTTGTCCTCTAAATTACATGCCACTAAAAAATGACCGTGCACATCATGAAAACTGCAAATTATAAGTAAGAAAAACACGATAATCGCAACCATGATCTTACAAGATAGCAACCAACAGAACAAAGCAACAATGAAAATTAACAAAGTTACTAGAGGCAAGATTACATTTGATTCATTAGATAAAGTATCACTATATGACATCATGCAAGATAAATTTTATAAAGCATATTTTATATCACCTTGCTCTCGAGTTCCTTGAGAGAAACAGGGTTGACGTCATCTCTTCCTTTTTGAAATAAATCATCCAGGGACTTCAATAACGTCGCATTTTTATTAACCTGAAACGATATATTCAATTAGACCAAGTCATATGTGATTATAGTATGCTTGCCAACAGAGTAGCACTACTATGTCCACTCAACAAGTTTTTCAATACAAGTTCAAGAGTGAATTACATTAACCTCAAATAAGCAAATCAAACATATTAACACTGAACCAATTACAATTTTCTTTCTCAATCCGGAAAGCTATAGCACATATTATAGTGAATGGCAGCAGCAAAAATGGTGAGTTCAAGGATTAAACTTGAGCTTATAACGAACAAGGGACAAACCAGTCTGCGGCGTTTTGCTTTGGGAGAAGTAAATTTCCTGACGGTCTTGACAAAAGCAATAACAAAAGTAAGGCCAGCATAAGCCAGAGGGATGGCAAGAATCCAAGGCAACGAGCTTGTACCAACTCTAGGCCCAGGAATGGCCTGAGTGACAGAGCCAGTGAACTCCACCACGTCCAAGGCCTTCTCCTGAATCCACGGCAGCTCTTCCTCCACTTCCACCTCAATTTCCTTGGTTTCCGAAGCTACTTCATCACTTGGGTTTTTGGATTTCCTGCCGCTTTGAACTGGGTTGGCATTGGAATTGTTCTTCGATGCCGCTGCTACACAGAGTGAAGAAAACAAGAGTTGGTGCTGTGTTGGAGAGCGAACACCAGAAAAGGGGAAAACTGTGGGTTTTGTGGGGGGAAAAGTCAACACAGGATTCTTTGAGCGAGGGAGTAACTGAGAAGCCAGAGAACAAGAAGCCGAAGCAACAGCCATGGGAGATGAAATGGGACGTCTGCTTCCCAGAGGCCAGAGCCTTCAGCTTAGGTTTGCATCGGCTAAGACCAGATGGTCCTTCTCTAAGCTTGCCCTTGTCGTCGTTTGTGTTTGTTAAATTTACTACTATTTGCTTAACAGTTAATTATTAAACGTAAATTTTTTTTTTTGCGTGATCCCTCAGAATTTTTTGAACGCGCGAACACTTATAATTATTTCAATATTTTAGTACAATTATTTTAAGTAAATTAAATTAAATGTATGTGTAATTGCAGTGACTATCCTCGCAGAATTTGATAAAATTAAAAATTATACCTTTATTTGAAATAACCAACTTAAATAATTCAATTTATTTATTCAAATAATATTAAGCATAAAGTACATTTGTTGAGAAAAAAAGTATCGTGTTTTACAATTATATTTCTTGATATTTAGCTATGTTTTTAAACACTAAGTGTGGGATTCCTATTTGGCGCCTGAAAAGCTATGCATAATTTATGAATAGTATGACATTTTATAAATTTTACTCCTTCGGTTTTTAATATAAGACCTATTTAACTAATTTGATTAAATTAAAAAAATTAAGTTAATTAGTTAATTATAAAAAAATATAATATGTTTTTCCTAAAATACCATAATCATCTTTCTTAATATCTTTTATACTCTTTTATTTGATTATGATTGACAGAGTATCTATAGAATAAGTTAGAAAAAATTAAAATATAAGAAATAAGTCTTATATTTAGAACTAAAATCAACTCAACAATTAAGTCATATATTAAGTACCGGAGAAGCATATACTTTGATGATTATCAATTCTCAATGATTATTTGAGATTATCACATGTTTTTATTTTCATTTTTATTTCAAGACCTTTTTTATTTTTAAAGAAATGAAGTTTCGCAAAGTAAAAAAGGTCAAGTAAAAGCCAAGTGAAGAATATTGTCAACGTTAATCAATGACTCAAACGACAAAATGAGCATTTACTAGACTTGCGTCTACTCTCTGTCCAATTCTGATGCAGCTACTTTGATCCATCATTGAAGTAAAAAGCAAATAGTGCCATTGTAACTTCTCATAAGAACTGATATGTATTGAGTTTGACGACACAAAATCTGTCATAATAATCACACAGCAAAATAGATCATGTTACCCAAGAGATTAGAGCCTCAAAATACTTGACTGGCACCCCTCAACAACACCCACTAACCCCCCTGAAAATAGCAGCAGCAGAAGAAAAGTAAATATTGCACAGCTCAATGCATATTTTTGCTGAACCTCCAGCTTTCTGTCCTGTTGACCAAATCGAGCCACTCGGAACCGAGGATAGTGAAAGGAAGAGATATAAATTCAGCTGTACTGAAATAACTAGCAAAACCAAGTGATTAAAGCCCAGTTTAGATCCTGAAGTATTTGTAACCATAGTCAGGATTCGTCATTCCCTCTTCCCAATCGCCCATGCTACGTCCACCAAAAACTACCTGTTGGATACCCAGATATCTGCCATAGAAAGTAAAGGTCAATCATAATTTAAGAGAGGAGTTTCTTCACACATATGATTGGACAGACTTTTCTACCCTGTTTCCCTCTGGTCATTTCAACTTACTCTGAGCTTAAGGAAGTTAGGCAATTGAGGAGTACATCAATCGCGAAGTAATCACACGTGCCCAGGTCAACCCTATAAGAGATGTTCATAGTTTGATCACGTTCTAATGATGGTAATCTAGAACATTTTACAAAAGATCAGTGTCCTGGAGGATATACCAAACACGTCCCCAGTTATCTTGAAACTCGATGTCACCTATATCATGGAAGGATGATGGCATCACTTTGAAACCCTTCTCTGCATCATAGAGAGGATCATACTCCACGGACGAATTTGCCAGCTGCCAACAAGTTAAGATGCTTCAATTATTTGTTAGAGGTATCAAGTACAGGCAGGAATGGATGACAATCACATAACAAAGCAAAGCTGAAGCAGTCAACTCATACTCGTCAGTCTTCGTGTTAAGCAGAGAATAAAAAAGAAATTTCATGCAGGAGAATTTGTCACATTTAGCAGAATGTATCGTATTCAGTGTCTCTAGAATATACATTACTTTGCAAGATCTAAATTCAAATATGACAGGTCATAAGCTCAAACATATTCTGCTGCAATTCACACAGATGCATTCCACAAACATAAAAAATGTCTCCTTAATACCAAAAATTACTCAAACCAGCAGAAAGAACAAAATACAGCAGATGCACACACTCAGCACCATAAACAATACAACAACCTGTCCCGTACATTGGGGCATTTATATTTACCTCTCAATGTCAAATATAGTATGCTATCTAGCATTTCTTAGATGAACACTCCTGTTGGAATGTAGTTTGAGGAATTGCATCCATGACCACATTTTCATGGATCTATCATGGATTAAGTTGGACATAGTCGTCATAAATTTTGCACCAGGAAGAATATGATACTCAGACAGCAACTGAGCCAGTTGCATTTGAAAGAGATCAACAAACAAATACATCAATAGTGAGGGAAAGAAAGCATGACCTTACCTGCAAATTAGAAGAATTGAAGGCACCAAGGCGACCCATAACATACCAAGATTGAATAACCTGCATGCATGTTGACATGTCTCAGGCAGTAACATTTTCAGGAGTAAATGCAACCATGTGGCAGCATCAATGCAGCAATGCATATAAAGCATGTTGCCACTCCCCAACAAAAATAAGAAGGGTAAACTTGCTAAATTAAACACTTACACTACCAATCAGATTAATGTCCCGATCAGATGGTGATCCAAACAATTCAAACCATATGAACGAATCAACCGGGTTGAAGCTGCAAGAGGCATGGCATGAGAGAGAGTGTGATAGAAGGTTTCCAAATATGCAAACAATTTTTATCACATAGTACTGACAGTGACGCCAAAGGCATTCAAATCATGATATAGGTGTGCCCAGGCCATCTTCGCTTGCCTTTATTTATCTAGTAGGATTCTTCCTATATGTATGGTTGAAAAAACCTTAAAGAGCCATAAAGTTACAAGAAGCATCCGCTTTGTTGACAATAATTGGGTTTTTCTTATAAGTATGGTTAACTGTCATATTGGTTACATCACTTGAATCGAACCAATAATTCATCACAATATTTTTCCTATGTAATTATGTGCGTGTGGATTCTTACAAGAACCACTTTTGCTCGATATAAATATTAAATACAGCAGCAGTGATCTTCAATTTATCCTTTCAAAAGTCCAGTCTCATATTTCACTATCAGTCAGTTTGGCATTACGACATATAAAAGTACACACGCATGTAGATAAGAGATATATGAGATTGAGAGACAGGAAGTGGAGGGGATAAAAAAGATAAAATGAAAAGAAAGAGCATCTAACGTTCTTACTCTCTAAAGCTGACTTTGAAAGCAAGCACAGAGCCTGTTTTGGATTTATGAAAGTCTCTGCCCTTCTTCCGGACTCTGTCTTCTACCTGCAACACAACCAGATTTATTAACATTCCAAACACAGTACCAACAAAACAAGGTGTTTAGTAAGCATGAAATGTTCGCAAAACTTGCCAATCCCCATTAGTAGAACTTAAGTTATCGCATTAACCACCACTATTTCCTCCATTTTGGAATGAAAAGTCAAGGCACCCTCGCCTTTTGGACATAAAAGGAGATGAAATACACAAATTACTACCCAGAAGGACCCAATAATTATCATACCCGTTTCCTCATTAGTTCAGGGTTGCCAATACTGTCTCCAAGAACAGCACGGAGCTCAACATCATCTTTACAGGCATCTTCGAGGACTCTGAAAGAGAAGCAATTATTTGTAAAGGCAGGCACCAATAATTATGACTTTGAAAAGAACGCAGCAGGAAAGGGGGGAATGAGGACTTGGCCCAAGAAGGGTAATTGTGAACTCGGTCATGTTCCCGTTGCCGCTTCTCTTCACGAATTCTAAGCAATCTGCGACCTCTCGCACTGGTTCCTGAACCTTTGATGTGTTGGTTACTTCCACTTGTAGAACTCTGAGGATTATCATCGGAGGAGGAAGAAGAAGCAGAAACTTGAAGAGGCCTCAAACTTCGAGGAAGAAACTTAACAGAGACAACGGAGGAGTGGGGCGAAAACGCGAAGGAAGAAAGATAAGAGTTGGAATCCGCGTTGGGAAAGCAACGGCAAGAGCAAAAACCACTGCTTGAGCTCATCTCTCCGGACTACATACACTCCCGGAATGCCAGGCTTGATTGCGTTTTGCGTCAAAATCACAAGACACTGGAAAAGAGTGAAATTTTCTCCCCGGATTTGGCTACCCTGATTTTTCCCCCTTATTAGATTTTTTGCCGGAGAATATTATGGAGGAAATTCGAATGATTACAAGTATACGTTTGAACAAAAATGTTGTGATTGGAGAAATAGAGCGGAAACTAGAATCATTCACTCCAATACTGGTGAACTTAGAAAATGCAGTGCAAATCACTGAACAGAATTGTTTCTCCTTTCTAATGGTAACATGAGCAAGCAAGAATAACTCGCGTCATAGATAATTATACCAAATACCAATTTCAACATTAATACGTCGACATGTTTTTAGCATTCGATTACGTGACAGAGTTTCTGGTAATAGATGGGAAAAAAATTATGCTAAAATTTGTTTTCATTGAAAAATTTAACAATATCAAAATTGATACGGACACCTCATGTTTCTTCACTGATCTTATTTCCACTTTCACTTCTCTTTGCCCACTTCACTGCTACCAAATGAGGCATGAGAGATTAATTGATTTGTATAAAAAGAGGTTCTAATCTTTTTATCCTCCGTGTGGTTCTCTTTTTTGAATAGCCTTTTAGATTAAAAAAATCCCATTTATTTCGATGAGGGACAAAAGTCATCCCATAAAAAAATTAATTGCAAATAAGACCTTAGTCACTTTTAAAACAATTTCCAAAATTTTGGGCTTTAACTATAATTAATGATTTTAGATGGTCTTTAAGTGTGATTTCTCATGTATTTCTTCGACCGACACCTCAAAGCCGTAAGAATAAGACTACTAATTAATGATTAAATAAACGTGAGAAAACTTTAAAAAGTCCAAATGACAGATTTGACCTCGGTTTCCTCTAATTCTAAAATTTGAACTGATGAAGACCTCAAGGAGCAAGCGGCACCCATTCGACCACCACCTCTCTGTGTGGAAACCCCAAAACCTCAACCTCAACCTCAACCTAACCCTCTTCTTCCTCTTCCTCTCTCCGCAATATCTCACATTGCTTTGTTCTCTCCGCCTACCACAATGTCTTCAACCTTAGCCACTCTTTCTTCTACTTCCTCATCCTCTCTCTTCTGTCGCAATTTCAATTCTTCGAAGCCTCCATCTCCTCAAAGTATTCGATTCGCATCGCCAATTCTTCGAACTTCTCCCTCCGTTTCTCGAATTACCGTTCGCGCTTGTTCTCCCAATGGTCCTACTCGTGGAGGTGGCAGTTGCCTCATTGCTCTCAAAAGTTTTGCTGGAGCTGCAGTTCTTTTTGCTGCTTCGGCGGCTATGATTGGGAAGTCCTTTCAGTTGCCTGCCAGGGCCGAGTCTCCGGTTTCTGTTACTGAACAATCTCAGGTTCTCGAAGAAGATAAGGGAAGTGAGGGAGGGAAGCAGGGAGATGAAACGTCATCGCCTTTGTCGGAGTTTCTTGAAACGAATGCCGAAGCTGTTGATGCTTTGAAATCTCTTTTGCAGCAGAAGCTGGAGAATGGTGATGACGAGGAGGCTTTGAAGATTTTGAAACGCTTGGTTTCTGCACAGCCGGAGGAAACGGAATGGAAGTTCCTTATGGCGAGATTATTGAGCGAGATGGGGGACCATGAGAATGCCCGTGACCTTTATGAACAACTTTTGACTGTGAATCCCTTATCTTTTGAAGCATTGTTTGAAAATGCTTTGTTGATGGATCGTTGTGGAGAAGGTGAAGCAGTGATTCAGCGGTTGGAAGAAGCTTTGAGGATTGCTGAGGAGAAAAACAAGGCGAAGGAAGCTCGGGATGTCCGATTGATAATGGCACAGATACAATTTTTGCAAAAGAATGTGGAGGAAGCTATGAACATGTATCAACAACTAACAAAGGAGGACCCCAACGATTTTAGGCCGTACTTTTGTCGGGGTATGATTTATAGTTTGCTTGATAAGAATGAGGAGGCAAGGGAACAGTTCGCCAAGTACAGGGAATTATCGCCAAAGAAATTTGAGGTTGAGGGATACTTGAGATCACCTCTGTCAAGGCTTAAACTTTTTGGCACCGATGAGAACTAAATTAGAGATGGTTTGGCATTCAGACTATAGAGGAATAATGATAAGAAGACAGGTTTTGCTCCAAAGCTGTGTCTGAGTTTCAGGTGAATCCACACCTCTGTTGAATTCTTTATGTAGTACACTAAATGCTGGTTGGATTAGAGCCAACTTATGCAGTTTACTGAGTTAGAAATAAGGATAAGATTTATAGTTACGATTGATGAGATCTTGTGCTGAGATGAATGAGCAACTTGCGGTAATAGTGACATTCTATATCAGAAGTTCTTATAGCACCTTTTTACCATTTTTTAGCCGCCTTAGTACTTTGCAAACATCAAGAAAAGGTCATTCTAAACTCGTTTAGATCCAGATCACTCTCTCAAGCCTTTAGCTTAATGATTGATTGAAAAAGAGAAAACGAAATGAAAGTATATTCCTGAATGAATTCAATCTCTGGCTCCTTCATTTCTTTTCTCACGGGAAAATATTCTTTAAACAAGTTGGTTTGTTTCCTTGGTATGTTTTGACTGGTATCATGTTTATCGTTATTTCGATATTTTAGAGGGGCTGGTTCTTAAGAGTTAGAAACTTGATTGGGATTTGAGATTACTCACTGAACATGTACTGTGGAAGTTTCAGTTTTGCTTTAATCATCTCAGTGTTGTATTTCTGTATTTAGAATCCAATTTATAGTTTCCTCCTGAGTCCTTTTTATTCCATTCATATGAAACTTGGCAAAAATATCATCAAATTATGCCATTTGCCCCCTCGCACACTTTGTGTAACAACAATAAATAAGAGTTCAAGGTTACATTTTTCTAAACAAAGTTAACAGAAAAGAGTAAAAATAATTTATATCAAGTTACAGTTACAAAACTGAAAACTGTTCTTTAGTTTTCAAAATGGAGGACAGTTACTGATGAGAATTTCTTCCTTTTGTTCCACCATATCTGTAATTGTTAACAAAATTAAGATAGAGGACAATACAGCCTAAATACTTATATTTAATTTATATTTAATGTAGCCTATAATTAAACATATTTGAATTGTATCACAAATTAGTCAGTATATTCATTTGTTTTCATTAGAAAAACTATGAAATACTCAGATGCTTTACTAAATAAATTATAAATTAGTTAAATCATCTTGCGTGTCAAAATAGATTAAAAACAAGTACCCAATACGCGACCTAAATTTCCTGCCGCTGGAAAGGGCTCCTTCTAGCTTTGAGAACAGGCCCAAAATTTAAAAAAGAAAAAAAAAACAAATTGAGAGTATATCATCCCACTTTAATCATTAATTTACTACGAAAATAAGAACCAAAAACAGCAATACATACTTTGCAAGCACCATAACATATTTCATCATGTGTTTTCTCTGAATACTAAAATATGAACATATAGTACGCATTCAAAAGGCCAGGTGTATGAATCTGCTCGTGAGGGGGCAAAGCTCAGCAATCATTTCTCGAGGAACATAAAATTGTACTTCGTGGCTTGTTCAATAAATTCACGCCAACATGTGCATCAAGCTTTAAATAAAAATATGATATGTTATGATTACATAGTCGTAAGGATTTGGTGCTACATAATAGGGTTAGCTGTCAGATGGTGAGATTTTCACGTCAGTCAGAACTGTGCAACCAGCAGGCATGAGGGTAACGTAACACGGCTCTTCCTCTTCGTCTTCCCCAAATTAGTTGGTATCAGAATCAGTGCCTCCAGTTATCATGGAATTTGAAGAGAAGAGCACGAAATGTACATAAAGGTCAGGGGTTTCAGCCCAAGTGAGACACGGCTTCATACCATTCGGTGCCAGAAGGAGAGGCTCAAGTCTTTTAAAAATGCACAAACCCCCACAAGAAGCAACCGAAAAATCAGTGGGTATAAATAATTGAATTCACACAATAAATCACTCCGTCCGAATCATGAAACATCCTGAAGAGTCAGATTCAACTCTTGTGCAGACTTTGCAATCGAGCCTCCTCTTCTACGGTAAAAAGGGTCGACAAAAAGAGGAAATTAGACCGGCCAGAACTGGCTAAAAACGAAATATAACAAGAATAGTATTTTTCTTTTTTAATTAATCCTCAAATATAAGTTCCTTGACTACTTGATCCTCAAAAGCCATTTGTTTCGTACCAAGTACCAACCCATTTCTCAATCTAGATGCATTAGAACTTCCAAAATTGGATTTGTTTGCTGCTAAGATTTGATGACCTAGGGGTGTTTGAGTAAAAATCAAACCATGATATTACGGTATACGAAGTAAATATATAGCGGAATTTGTCAAAAAGGTGTTTGGATTCCTACAAAAGTGCTTTTTATAAGCATTTTTTTACAAATCGAGACAAACTCCGTTACATATTTATTTCATATACCGTGAAATCACCTAAAATTATGGCTTCGTTTCCATCTAAATACCCCTCGATTTGCAGAAAAGTGTTTTTTAAAAGCACTTTTGGGATGTTCCAAGCACATCTAATCAAGGAATTTATCTTTCAAGGATCAGAAAGCACATATCCTCCGAAACCAAGACTTTAAATAGTTACCTCGTAAAAGAAGGCAATATACGTTTTACTTTTTCAAGCTCTATGAAGCAAAGGTTGCAACGTTCAAGCCTGAATCCATTAAAAACACAAAAGCTCCTGATTAGAATGAGATGTATTTCAAGGAGAAAGTACCCAAGATAGAGTCTGAAACCTACCTTTGCTCCGCCTCAATATCCACGCCAACAGATGCTGTAGCCGATAGAGTTGAATAAATTACTGGACCGAATGTTCTGACCAGCTTCAACAGCATTTCCAAGGATATTCCTAAATGCCTGCGTATATTAAATAGTCAAGATGCAACTAAATATATGAAATTATGATTTATGGATGCAAATATACAAGAGTCCTCTAAAGGAGTTAAAACACAAGGTGGCGAGTCAAGTTATATATGTCAAGGAAGAGCTGCCGGTGCTATGTCACTATTCATTGAGAGGGGTCTGCCTAGCTAACTTCTAGGAAGAGTTTGATCCAAGGTCTGTTTCTCAGCCCAAAAAAAAGTTGGTTGGAAAGGCCTTTTTGGTTCTTTTTTTTTTTTGGGGGGGGGGGGGGTAGAGCTTGGATAAGGAAGAAGATTATAGGGCTAACTGTTTAATTGCTTCCTATCATTCCTTCATTCAAAGTTGTTGCAATTATTAATCATCTCGTCATGGTGTCTGTTCCATTACAATGTCAGGAACAGCATAATTATCATGTCTTTTGGGCCAAAGAAGGATAGGCCAAACAGGAAGAAAGGATTCAGACATCAGTTTAACTACTAGTGCGTCAAAGCTCATTGCAACCTATGCAGCTCAAAGAACCCCCTGATTGGGGGGGAGAGAGAGAGAGAGTGACACACACACACACACACACAGCTACAGGAATTTCAATTTCAGGTATGCAGAGATTGGACGGCTTGGTTTCACTGTCAAGTTCTTCAACAGATAAGGTTATTAAATGTTCTACAAGTGGAGATGGCATTAATGTACTAAACAAGTAACGATCCACACGTAAAAATATACATATAGCTTTAATTTTGCTTTTGTTAATATACAAATGGCAAGTTATAATATATGCCAGGCATATCTTGTTGAGCATGCGTTGTTGCACTAACACTACGTATTAAGCGTGCTTATCTTTGTATCAAACAGAAGAGACCATGCTTACCTATCCAATTCACTTTGAAGAAGGCCAGTTAGAAGTGGCAGAAGGCTGGAGCATATATCAAGAGTAACAATATCAATTTTCTCCATTATAATGCTTACAACATCAGAAATGACCTGGAATTAACAGGAAGACAATACCACCATAGTTTCAATTTGTGCTCGACAATAACATTTGAATCAAAGATGTCAGTTAATAATGCAAAACAATAAGAGAATATAAATTGAGAGCACAAGTAACTAAATTCTCACAGCATGATCGTCCATTTTCTCCATTGCACCAATAACCCCCTTAACATCATTCCTTTCCCAATATCTGAAGACCGCCTGCAACAAAATTTCTAACAAGGTTCAGCGCAGTTTTAACTGGCAATAGACATGATACTTATTTAGTTTTGAAAAACATTAACATCTACACTGGACAATAGGCCCCACACACAGCAAGAAGTAAAATTGATTATGAATTAGGCGACTTTCTATACATTTTTATTGTGTATTGATTTATTGATGCTGCTTATTACAATTCACCGTAACAGACCAAGATCAAATTTAAGAACCTGAAAGAATTCTAGTTATAGGCCAAAAGCCAATACACCAGATTTAAAGCACTTCATGATTCATTCAAATATCCAAACAACCTGATGGGCCATTCAGATTACCTTCCCCAAACTATGAGGCTTTGACAGAATAAAACATCAAAAAGTCTTCTTACTTAAAATAAAATTACATCTAGAAAGATAGGTGTCGAATAAAATGAAATTATTCATTAGAATTTCAAATTCATTTATCAAAACCTGTAACTTGCTTGAACGAGCCTGCATTGAACTAAGAAATTGGTCATGCTGCTCCATCAGATCGGCAATAGCATCTTCATCACTAGCAGAGACTGTAGCCTTCTCAGTCATTGTTGAATGTCCCCTCTGTTAAATTTGAGGGATAAGTAGCCAATCTAATATTAAATAATTTGATTAAACCAGTAACATTTATTTTCCTTCCCATTCAAGTATTAAGGTATGAAGCCATATCGAAGCCAAAATATAAGTGAGAGCTATGAATCTTCTAAACTACTGTTGAACAATATCCAAATTGATCAACATACATATCAAAGTGTGAAAACCAAAGATAATAGAAAGAATCATACTCCATTGAAAGTTGGCAGGTGAACTGATGATGTCCTTCCATGAGAGATTCCAGAGGTTGGAGCCTCGTAATTAAGAGACCTTTCTCTCTTCTCCAAATTCATAAATGAACGTATTCTTCCTACAAGTTGGAGTTTAAAATTAAGAAGACATTCTCGGAGAAGATATATAGCCATCACCAATATATCAGAACAAAGGTACCTCCTTTTTGTCCATCAACAGAAACAAAATCTCTGTTCACTTTCGGACCTCGATTTTCATCTGTAAAGAGACAGCTTAATGAGTGAAACATCCAGATTCGCAATAATGAATGCATGCCAAACGTTATAACAATGACAACATGATGCTACATGCAGAAGTCCTTTACATCAAGTTCTGCTTGGGAATTGAGTTACACAGGCTGGTTTAAAGTATGTGCCACGCTTAGTCTCGTTGTATCCTTATATGCAATGCCTATACAAGTTACCAATCAACATGCTAACAGATGATTTTTTTTTTTTTTTTGACAATGCATCCTCATCACATGAGGAACAACTTCGGAGGGAATGTTTGCCAATACTGATATAGGCATGATTTAAGGCTTTTTAAGAATTCAGAGATACCTTGAGTTAAGCTTACAGCAGGAGGAAAGAATTTTTTATCCGCAACAGTACTCAATGGACCACCCATAGAAGCTGCAGGCTCAGATACAGGGGCAATATGGGGCTTATCCACTTCATCTCTGTTTGATAAGTTATGTAAATCTGCTGCCTTTGACTGCAACGAGAATTGCATCATTCTTCCAGAAATACCAACATCTTTTCTAGGCTCAGCCACCGGCTCTGACCTTACACTAGATCTGGGAACAATCACAGGTACAATATCTGATTTATTGATATTTGGAACATTGGAGGTTGAATGAGATTTCAATGAGCTCCTTTTCTGAGCTATTGTATTAGACACATTTGCCAGACTACCAGATACGGTTTTGGAGCCAGAGTTCAAACTGATCCTCTGAGGGGTACTAGGTGCACTTCCTGTGGCTTCAAGCAGATCATAAAACAAGAGATGAGTAAGCATAGTCATCAATCCACAATCTGATCCAGGTAGTCCAGAACCAGAGAGAATCAAACAAGATAAATATTAAGTGTTTTGAGAAGGGAAAGGATACATACATGCCAAATGTTTCCCCTCCTTCACAGGATCTGAATCTTGAGAAACTGACAGCCTTCCAAGAGATTTTGTTTCCTTCTGTAATGGATCTGTATTTTGTGAAACAGATAGCCTGGCCTTAGCTGTATTCTCACTCAGCACAGATATATTCCCACTTGAGGATTTAGTTTCTGAATGACCATTTAGTCTGTTTTTGTCACTAGGGCCATATGGTTCTATACGCTGCATGGAAGATCAGAAAGGTTAAGATACGCAATGCATTATATGGTACCATATATGACCATCTCTGAAAAACTAGTTTAATACCGAGATGTCTACAACCCAGACTCCGACACAACTCTGGTTGTATGAGCAGCCAAGAAGCTTTCCCTCGTGAACATTAAGATCAGACAATCTAGACCAACCTATATCCACCATGTCATGGCACCTTATCGGTTCCCAAGAGAAGACCTACCCAAAAAAAAAACAATAAGGACATTGTCGCCTCAATAAATACTTACCTCAAACAGAATAACTAGAAAGAAAAGGAGCTTACCTTCAAACTCTCATGTAAACCACAAAGCAGGGTCCTTCCATCCGGACTGAAGGTGATTGAACGCACTCCAGTTGTCTACAATTCAATGGAGGCAGATATTACGAAACCCTTCTAAAGTACAAATTTGTCTTAAGCATTAATGATCCTAAACTGGATGTAGAAGATCAAGGATTAATAATCATCAAAACTTATTTTATGAAATGGCCACCATGCACATATATATAGGACAAAACGAGAGTAGACTCCTAATGTAACAGATTGATTCTCAATATCAAATTCTCAAAGACGGACAAATCTATCCAAACCAAATTTAAAATTTAAACTAACTTTATCCTGATTTAAATAGAACGCTCAAGCTAGTCCTAAACACACAAGCTCATCCAAAAAATTAACTTACAAATAAGCCTTAACTAAAACCAAATAACAATTGAAATAGATGCATAATGACACGCAATCTCCAACACTTGATCAACAAGGGAAAAATTGTAGGATTGACATAACAGAATGTACCTCAGGACCAGCAGAACCAATAAGCTCAAAGGTTTCAAGGTCCCAAAATTTTACTGTCCTATCAGCAGAACCTAGGCATGGGAAAGGAATAATCAGTTAAATTAAATATACTCTCGCTCGAAGTTGGAAAATAAACAGCATAACAGAAGCTTTCTAACAGAAAATAATACCAATAAATTAGATAATTATAAAACTATACAGATGCAAACAGAATGCACAGCACTGCATGGGACGCGAGGGCCAGGGCATCTTATCCTTCCCTCATTGGATCTGATCTCTTTCCTCTCTAACAATCTTCTTGCATAAAAAAGTATAAAGAACAACATCTTCCAACAATAAATAAATCCTTGGCCACACACAAACATTATGAATTTTGATCACAGAAGAAATAATATCAATAACAAATGATGTTAAGAAAAATATCATCCATATATGGTAACATTAAGAAAGAGGATGCCTTCTTCTACGGATAGTTTCACGTTAAATGGCATCAGTAGCCCTTTAATAATGCAGCATTCTTCCATTAATTAAGTAGTATAAGAATAGAAGCACAGATGTTACTAACTAAAGTGCTGAGAAGCATACAATAGATTTGTTAAGAGTACTTCATTGGAGCAGGAGATATGAAAGAGTTGCTAATTAAGGCATTCACTTTATTAGAGAAGCAAGACTAACCTGTTGCAAGCAGAAACTCATGGGGATGAAAATCTATACACTGTATTTGGCCTTCATGACATTTAAAATCATGCAAGAGTTTCCCCGCAGTCAGATCCCACAACTGCAAAAACATAGATTATACTTTTCATCAAACATATCCTTAGATTTCCGTTCGCCACTAAAGTACAGTATTTGGTTACAGCCATGTGCATTAACCATAGTTTATAAAATGGTATCAAAATTCATGCATTCTAAGTTGCCCCTTTACAAGATATACACAAAGGAAATGACTCAGGAAGACATGAATTTCACAAGCTTTTTTCCAGAACACACATACTACAGAACTGCGAGGAAATCAAAATGAGTAGATCATTAATACACAAGATTCTCTAAATAAAGGTACCAAGAATCTGACAATAGCTTCTTCTTTTTTTTTTTTGGGGGGGGGGGGGGGGAGGGTGTGGAGGCATCAGAAGCGTCCTCCACCTACAGGTCCTCCAAAACTTAATAGAGTGTCATTACCATGGATTAAGTACCATAGAAACAAATTTCAAAATATTACAGAGTGTTGCAGTCAGTGATCACAAGCTTCTACTTCCGCAAATCACAATGCAAGTTGTAGCCATTCACATAAGCGTATTGATTATGAGGGAAGCTATAGCCATTCGCATAAAATCCCATCTGACTAGATAATCTCTCTCACTGTCCTGCTCTGACCCACCACTGACTTTATGTGTTCCCTCTTTATAAGTCATTATTTCATAGTAAAAGCATATGGGTCTTACATAATAGAAATTTAAACATCACTCTTATCTTTTGATTAATTGTCCACACAAATTGACCCTGCACTTTTCTCAGCTTACCCATCAGCCTCCATTCTATGATCTACGTACCCTGCAGTGTAATCTGTTCACCGTCACTGCTGTCTTGTACATGGTTCGCCACAATCAGTATTCAGCAGGAAATGTAGCATGTAACTATTGTCACTTCCTAGTAAAACTGTTTACTTCAGTGTCACGCCTTTTTTGGCCAAATCATCTCAAATTATTTGATATACAATAATATTTTGATATTTTTTCAATAACAGCATACATTTTTTTACTTGATTGTATAAGCAAGTTGAGCCAAAAACAATGCAGATCATAGGGAAAAATTCAATTGCCAAATAAGTATCATGCGTTAAGAAAAGCAATAGTACATACCTTCACAGAATTGTCCTCTCCACCTGACACCACCCAACGTCCATCTGGGGTAAACCTAATTGCATTAACTCCTCGAGTGTGGCCCTTGTATGTGTGGATACAGCCCTTCTTTCTGATGTCCCATATTTTAAGATTTGTGTCCAGAGAGCCAGATGCAAAGAACTCTCCAAAAGGATGGAAATCCACTGATGTACAGTTGGACCTATGACCCGTAAGAGTGCGGACAACTACCCAAAAACACATCACAAGCCACAGATTCAAATTATTAAATGAATCAAAGATACCAAGTTTTAAGATCATAAAAGAAAATATCAATCAGCTGCATACTCTTTGCCTCCTCTAAGTCCCAGAGTTTGATAGTCCCGCTTGCAGCTCCTGCAGCTACCAAAACTTCAGAGGAATCAAAACTTACAGAATCTATTCCACTTGAATGTCCTGACAGACTCTGCAGAAGGAGACACAACTCTTTAACTAAAAATGGTACACATTGGCCATTCTTTTCTATGTCAAACAATAAGTTGTTGTAATTAACAAGCAGGAGAAGAAAGCAAGAGTGCAAGGAATAAGATATTTGTCCCCTAATGTAGCAATATAAAAGCAAGGATAAAATTCCATTAGCCAAAGAAAACAAAGATCCCAAATGGACAGTACAGTCCTGTGATAGCTTCAAGACATGAAAATTTCTTTAAAGTTCTTGGAATTCATGCATTTCGGTCCAACCAAACACACCAAAATCCAGCACGCAAGGAGCACAATGGAGAAATCGCCTATAGTCCACCACAGATACACATGCCAGATGGCAGAAAACTATTGTTCTTAAGCATTTATGAGCAGGAGTTAAAACATATGGCTGACACTATGTACAATCGACCTTAGAAACTGTGAAGACAATGATTACAGAAAAATGAAGATGATCACAATGTTACCCTTCAAGATCTAATTGGATACCATACTACCTAGAAAACCCTCTAATTCTCATGCAAAACCCTCCAAGCACCCTTCAACTAAGTTCGTCGTTACTGTGAGCATCCAACAACTCTTGAAGAATTAAAATCAAATTTCAATTATGAATTGATAGGCCAAAAACAAAATGTGGATGCCCCACGTTAGCAGCCTAGCACATCGTCAAGAAAGGAAAGGCAAAGAAAAATACGCAAAGCATATGTGACAGAAAATCTTTATATTTCGTATCGAGTAAAACAATTAAAAAAAAAAAACAGAGAGAGAAGATAATACTAATAATACAAATGTGGGAAGAAAAGTATCAGGAGTACGAACCAGTATCGCATTAGGTTTCCCAATAGCCCAAAGATTGACCTTGTGATCTTCTCCTCCAGTTACAAGAACCCTGGATGATTTCCTTCCAATTTTGAGACAATTAACAGTGGAAGCATGAGCCACAAATTCCTCTGCACAATTCTTGTCAAGGACAACTGATTATCACTTAATGCCAGCAAGTTTAGCATATGAAAAAGTATAGCACATGGACTTGCAAAGAGATCTAAACCAAGAGGCCAGGTAAACAACCCCATAGCTGAAGGACAAGTGTACAGATCAAAAAGCATGAGCATTACTGGAGGGGGGAAAACAATTCGGTAACTCAAAACGCAAAGGATACGTAGCTTGTAAGCGCGTTTGGTACTCATTGGCTAACAAATAATACTGCAATATACAGGAAATGAAAACCCTAGCAATTGCAGCTGAGAAAGGAACAGCAATCCGGAACTCCAAACACTCAAACGATCTTTTGGGTCCACTAAGATCCCCAGATCTTCGCCGCCCACTACACTATCTGCTACCCTTCAAAGAACCGAGATTTTTTCAGTAAATGGTGTTCAAAATTTCAACCGTTTAGGTGCACCAACAGATCAAAATGAAGCAAGAACAGAAAGACTGGAAAACTACAAACGCAAACCTAACCTTAATTTCAAAGGAATATTTTATTTTCTTTCGCAGAAAGAGAAGAGTTTGCTTCAGACAACACAAACAAGTAACCCAAAACCATTCATTCACTTTTGCTCGCTCTTTTTTCACTTGTTCTGGCTGTTACTTCACAATTAAACTGCACAAATTCACCACACACATCCCCAGAGTGTGGCATAAGCATCGAGTTATTGCGGTACCGGGCGTAATGCCAGTGCCCTAAGCCAAGAAGCCAGAGCTTCGCTTCCTTCTCAGCTTCCAACAGCACCAAAGCATTTGCCTGAGGAGTGAAGATCTGTGAGATTGCCAAAGAACAAAGACGGAGTAGGGACCCAGCAACTACGAAAGACTTCAGGGAGAGAGAAAGAGGCGCTTTCACGATCTGTGCTGTGTCATGATAATGCTTACGTTCAAATTAATCTGGGAGGGGAAGAATGAAAAAGTAAAATCGAAAGACAAGATAGGCAAATCTGTAAATTCCCGAAAGGTTCGTGCCACATTTCTACCTTTCCCTCCCTGACTCAAAATATTATTTTTCAGTCAGCTGGCCTTTCACATAAGATGCTGACACCAATATTATACTATTAATTCATGATCAATGATTATTCATATAAATGATTAATGATTGATAATTTAATTCAATTATGTTTTATTCTCTTTTATAAACTATAAAAGGTATCCAAATTTATATACGTGTTCATGTTGCGGTTGGGTCCAGTAACACATATATATAAATATAAATATACGTTCTCAACATATATATTCTGGTAAAAAAAAAAAAGGCAACATATATATGCAAATTTTTAAAATAGAAAATTATGTCAACAAAATATCCACAACAGAACATGCTCAACTCCAATTCAAATGCTATTAGATAGATGTTCATCTTAAAAATAAATACAAATAATAAAATCCACGTATGTATTTGTGTGATTTTGGGAAAAATAATGATAATGATTCTGTGGCGTGCGATGCAGTCTATTATGTCCGTCATAATATTGATAACACATGAACCTGTTTTTGACAAACCGAACAACATAGATTTACTAAGGGTGTGTTTGGATAGAAACCAAACCATGGTTTCAAAAGTGCTTTTACAGATTACGAAGTAAATATGTGGAGGAGATTATCTCGTTTTGCAGAAAAGTACTTCTGAAACCACGGTTTTGAGATACCCAAACAGGCCCTAAGAGTTGGGCAAAAAAAAAAAGACTTATTAAGAATGGACGATTTTATATCTGAACATGATTTATTGTATAAAATAAATAAATAAATATCGATATAAAATATGTAACATTTTTTTTTTTGCCAGCATGATATGCAACAATTTGCACTTTACACGAAGTGGTTAATTTTTAACTCATAAAGATAGTTTTAACTGTTAACTTTTATCGATACTTTACCTATTAGTTTTACCATGTGAACTTTAGGTTCCTCGCAAGTGATTGTCTTTTGAATTTATTGTTCAAATTTCTCATATTTTTTGAGCAACGCAACATCTTACCTTTAGAGACTCTTTTTTTTGCCTTGACTTCCAATATCTTCAATTATTTTATGTCGCTGGAGGTAATAGAGATCTACAAACTCTATATTAATGAATACTCCTCCGGTCCTTATTATAGGACCCAATTTGACTTTTTATTTGGTCCTAATTATAAGACCCAATCCATTTTCTCTTTTATATTTATGCATTTTTTTCCAAGATAATCCTTAGTTTTAGCTAATATACTTAATTAGCAAGGATATTTTAGGAATAACAACACTTATTTATTATAAATAACCAACTTAACTTACTTCCTTAATCTCCTCAAATAAGTCAATTGGGTCTTATAATTAGAACCGGAGGAGTATTAAATATTTGCGTATAACGCAATTTTTGTGGGGGAATTCTTCAAAGCAGAAGGTTTTCCTACGCCATGTGATTCAAAATGCAAAATATATGCGTATGTGTGTGACTTGTGAAAGAGACAGCCCCCATGTTAGCGTAGGTAATATTCTTAACACTTTCTATATCAAGTTATTTGCATCTATTGTATTAAATTTTTTAATCAACATATAATTATAAATTTACATAAAACAAAAAAAAATGACTGCATATAATTAAAAAACTTAACATAATAAATATAAGAAACTTGACCGATTGTCGTGCGAATTTGTATGGTTTTCGTGTTAATATTTTTTTCCAGGTGTTTATTAGTGTAGAAAAAATAATAGGTTGAAGGGCAAATTTACTTTCACAGTTTTTTATCTGGTATATTTAGCATTTTCTTTAACTTTTGATTGGTCTGATTTTCTGATAAAAGATTTAAAAAGTTACATATTGTTCTATAAGAATGTTCGGCCAGCACTGATAATTAATTGTGCAATTTTTATCTTGAAAATTTGTCTAAATGAGTAATTAGAGTATCTTAAAATTTCAATCAATGCGGTGTTTTGAGTTAAATGTATCAATTACATCTAAAGAAAGACTTCCAGCGCAAAATTACCCATTAATCCAAAAATATTTAGTGATATTTTGAAACTATTAAACAATAAATAAACAAGTGCTTAGTCAAGTCGGTGGGTATGGCTAGGAGATGGCCTGCCTTGACCTCAAATTAGCAGGGGGATGGTGAGATAGTTTAGCACTAATGAGGTGGCCTTTCAAATTGAGAGGGGCCCCACTTACATCCAGACTTTTTTTTTTTTGGGGTTACATGCATCGAAGCATTTTGTTTCTCCCTTAAATCATGGAGAAATGAGAAATCCATCCATTTCAATGTAAAATCCGAAGTGATTGTTTTTTTTTTTTAATGCAATGTACAATATCTTCTGCTTTTTAATGAGATTCAGGAATGTAAAAAAAAAAAAAACACACACACACACACAACACACCTAGCGAGCATATATAGCCCCTCTTGCGTGGTTAATACAGTGAACTAATGAATTGTTAACAACTTATCATATATTAAGGAATTCAATATAAATCGGTTAATGCTTTTAAATTTTGAAAGTTGTCCTAAATGAAATACATTAATTACAGGGGATTCTTTGACTAATTCAAAAAATCTTAGATGGAGGATATCAAAGGAATAACTAACAAGCACTTGTGGAATAATCCTAATCTTTCTCTTGATACCAGCACAACCCTGCGAAGATCATCAGCTTTGCAGCTTCCTTCACCCAACCCAACGGAAAGAATATCAGTGCCTTATAAATAATATGCCACTCCATATAAATTTTATTTTTATATGAAAAAGATACACATCCTCTTGCACACGACAGAAGACAAATTATATTACAAATTAAATTTTATAATTATAAGCAAAGGTCGTGCTTTAAAGACCAACGGCTGCATTATGTCCTATAGTGAATTCAATTACAAGTGGTTGTTCTTGCTAGAGAGATTTGTGTTTAGCCATAAAGACAGAGATCTCAAATTTGTACTTATTTAATCTTAAATATAAAAACCAATTAACGAGTCAATCTTGATCATAAGTGTACATTTTAATTTTATCGATGGTGTTTAACTATCTAACAATTTTTTAAAAAATTAATTTGTCTTACTTATAAAATAATATATGACCTAATGTCATATAAAACTATTTTAGGAAGATGATATGAATTTTATTAGAATTGAGTAACTCACTTAGATTTCTTAATAAATCGGATTATTTAAGTTGATGGTCTGTCAGGAAAAAAAGGTACTACCTTGGTCCTTAATACAAGATCCTGTTTGATTTTTATTTTGATCCTAAATATAAAACCCCAATCCACTTTGTCTCTCATATTTATGCATTTTTTTCCAAGATAGTCTTTCTAATAATTATAGTTCTAGCCAACATAGTTGATTAGTAAGGATGTTTTAGAAAAGACAATACCTATTTATTACAAATAACTAATTTAACTTATTTCATTAATCTTTTCAAATAGTCAACTGAATCTTATAATTAGGATCAGAGGAAGTATATGCTATTTGCTTCTCAACATTCACTCTGAAACTTATTCCACTTAGTTTTATTATCTCTCTTCAAAACTCGCTTTTAGAAGCCTATGTAGGGAGGAATGCATGTTTGTGTGTGAGAGAGAGTCTTCCTTAGGGTGTCCATTGTAACTTACTTACGAGCTCAGGGAAAGTAGTTTCTTAGATTCACTGAAAAAACTTTATTTAGCGTATAAAATTAATACAAATTTCCTTTAAAGCAAGGTCGTGTTTTGCCCCTTAACTGGAAATCGATGGGCCATTACGCACAGAAAGTCAACACTAAAGATTGTTCTTTTACTTTTTTTTTTTGGTATACTGTTCTTTTACTTAAGAGGAAGACTATTCTCTAACTACAACCCAAGGAGGAAGATTATACAGCAACGTGAAGAACCTGGGAAATCTTGCAAGCCCATCTAACTTGGGCCAAGTTAAGTGAAAAGAACGGAAAACGGACAGCCAGGGAGAGATTAATCATGTTTAGGGAGTGTTTGGATAAAAACAAAACCATGGTTTCAGAAGTACTTTTACGGATTACGAAGTAAATATGTGAAGGAGGTTACCTCGTTTTGCGGAAAAATGCTTCTGAAACCACGGTTTCAGAGCATCCAAACAGGCCCTTACGCGTTAGACTGGGCGAGTCCCCTGAAAAAAGAAATTGTTGGACCTAGCTAAACTTCTGTTCAGGACCTAGCGCTTCCCTATTGCTATATATGTACCCTTGACACGTAAGTTAGTTGATTAAGTAACTTAGATATTTTAAAAAAATTATTAAATTAATTATTTATAATAAATAGGTATTGATTTTATAAAATATCTCTACTAATTACGTGTATTAGTTAAAATTATTATTTGATAAAAT